TAAAGTATTCTTTAGTTACATTAAAAATAAACCATCCCCTTCATATGCCTCGGTATCCTTTCGCAACAGTGATAACGTTATTATACCAGAAAATAAAGTTCCCGAAACATTTGCCAAATACGTTTATTCAGTTTACTCTGTCTCACCGGCCATCTATAATTTAAAAGATACAACACCCGCAAATTATCAGATGGCACAGTTGAAGTGTATTTTGGCAAGTGATACGGCAATTAAAAAATTGAAACCAAAACGGGCTGTATGTGCGGACGGGGTACCACCGTGCGTTTTAAAGGGTTATTCTGATTATTTCAGGGAACCCCTCCTGCATATTTAAAACTTAATTTTGAAGACTAATCAATTTCCTGACTGTTGGAAAATTTCACTAGTCAGTCCAATTTATAAATCGGGAGAGAAATCTAATTTAAATAATTATGGACTTATTGTAGTTTTATCGGCGCCTGCAAAAGTTTTCGAGCAGATATTATACCGTAACTTATGGAGTCATTTTAGCACACTAGTCAAAGACTATCAACATGGCCTAAGAGATCAATATCTACTAACTTGACTATATTTACCGATGATATACTCAGTGCATACCTAATTAAATTAATTGTTTCTTATTTACAAAACCGCACATTTAAAGTCAAATATTCAGGGGTCCCACAGGGTTCCAACCTGGGCCCACTCTTGTTCTTGTACTTTATTAATGATTTACCCCAATGTCTTCATCATTCTGAATGCTTGTTGTTCGCTGACGATTTTAAATTTTATAGACAAATTAAAGTTGTAAATGATTGTGCATTGCTCCGGCTGGGCATTGATTCTGCAATATTTATTTTACTCGGAAAAAGGATGTTGTTCGTAAAAAAGGATGCTGTCCGTAAAAAAAGGATGTTGTTCGTAAAAAGGAAGTTGTTCTTTTACTTGTAAAAAGGATGTTGTTACTTACGCATATAAGATGAATGACACACATTTAGTTAAAGTTCATAATGTTAAAGATCTGGGCTTAACGATAGATAGTACAATATCATATAAAATTCACTCTGACAAATTTATATCTGATGCCTATAAAACTCTTGGTTTTGTTATGAGGGAAACGCGATATCTATATTTTACTCTAAGAACTAATCAACTTTGTCAAGAATTTAATATTAATACACTTCATCACCGTCGTATTATTTCTATTATGTTATTTGGTTACAAAATTTTAAATTGTTTCATTAATGCACCGAATCTGATCTCCCGTATGCTTATTAATGTTCCTTCCAGAGACACCCGTCAAAAACAATATCTGCATATCCGCGATACACAAGACATCATGTTCTCCTGTTTGGCAGGTGGGATGTTCTCCTCTTGCAGTTATGTTCAAATTAATTAATCAAGTCTCATCATTTAACTCCATCGACCTGTTTTCACCCCCAAAGAGTATTTTTAATAGAAATTAAACAAATTTGTTCTGTAAACAATTTACCATAATCATCACTTTTACATGTCTTAATTTTGCAAAATCGTTACGTGGATGTTGTTTGCCCTTCTGACATAGTGCTGCTATGTATTTTGGTTATTACCCTTTGTTAGTGTGCTTGTTTTAGGTAGCCACATTTTGTACAATACAGTGTAGTAATTATTTCCCTGTAATTAGGTATTTATGCCTGTTGGGAAAAGAAATAAATAAATAAATAAATAATTAGCCTTCTTGATCTTCCTCTTTCCAGTTTGATCTGAGACTCAATTGTGCCTCTATAATAGCTAACTATCGCGTGCGTTCTCAGGAGTTACAATAAGCTCTCCTGCAGCACGCTGCAAATGGTTGCACTCCACCTCGAAAAAACTTGTATTCCCGATTTTCCCCCCACCTACGTTTTTTTTCCTATGTATATTCTTCACCAATCCAAAAATCGATTTTTTCACAATTCTAGAGTGGCTTAATACCTTCAAATTTACTATTATATTTGTTTTGTAATTTTTCATATTGTAATTTTCAACAAAGAGATAAACAAATGTTATGTTTCTTTCAAACTTGCATTCAAACTTGATTCGTAAGTAAGTAGTTAACTCTGTTTTTTATTAATCAACTCGCACACTAAACATTGAAACCAAGTTCCAGATACTGAGACTACTACACTGAAAGAAATGGGCTTATTAAACTGTTTATCTAGAATAATGTGCATAGCGCATATTAATACTTTTATAACCAATATACAACTTTTATTAAAAAAAAGCAATCATCTCCATACTCATTATTCAATCAGTTTAACTGGAAGGTGCTTAATACACCTTATGCATCTATGAAATAAAGGTTATAATGAATTACTTATACATTATTAGGTGTTATAGACTTTATATTCCAATTGTATAGTAGGGAAGATTTGTTGTATAAAGACCAGTATCCGAATTTGTATATAACAATTGTATTAACAGAATTATTCGTTCTTATACTGAATATGTTTCCGTTTTTAACGTGTAAAACGCATCTTATAATGGTTAAGTGATCGTCACCTCTCGGTGCATAATCGGTTATGATCGTTGTTAAGTTATATTCATAGTCTTGTAATAATAATCATATGTCAGACCCGAGAGCGAAGTGCGCCGACTCAATAAGAAACCTGGCTATTCCAGCCGCTGATTTAGGGTTCGCCGCACGAGCTCATCCCTTCTAAGATTTCAGTAGCATGCTATGCATGAAGCAGAACGGTACTCAACTATCTTATACAGTCCACTTTTATTGTCCATACATGTTCAATCATTGTCAAAATAAACACACAAAACCACAACGTCTTTATTATCTTTACTCAAGAAGAGAAAATACAACAATCGTAAAATTTCCGACAGTCCGCTGTGCATCGACTTACACACGTCTAGTTTGATGAAAATGGACAGTATATGCACATGTTTTGTGGGATACATGATCATATCGCGTTGTGTGAAATGGAAAATTATTATGTAAGTATCTAACTGTTTTATGGCTTGTAATTGTTTTGTTTTTTCAAATGTAAATCTTGTCTAAATCTTAAAAATTATTATTTTGTAGGTCCTATTAGAAATCGCTGATGTTAAGTTTTACATAAGATGGAGGAACAGAAGGTTAACGGTGACAAAGAAGAGCATGGGTATAAAGTCAATCAACCAGAGGAAATAAAATTATATGGAAAGAAGCTCAACCTTTCTGGGGATGCTTCATTCTTAAGGTGGAAGAGTTATAGTGCAAATTCTCATGTAATACAAGAAAATACGGGTGCATCGTTGCTAAGAAAATAAACTGGACAGTTTTGGGAGCGATTTGTCATCATTTTTAATGCTTAAAAGTATGTTTTATGTATGTTTACATTAGAACCTTAGCTTGTAATTACAGTTATCCAATAAAATTTCTGAAAACTTAATGACATATGTTTTTAACTCATACAGAGTATACAACAGTTTAATACATTTATTATTATAAAACTTATAACCAGTACTAGATGTTCTAATAACGATATGGAACACTTTAATAACAGTTATTGCTATTATTTCGTAAAGGGTATAAAAAACGTTGTATACTAGTTATACAATAATTTAATAAAGAATAAGGTTTATAGTCACTATACAACTGTGCTAGCAATACGCGTTTTATATCCAATATTCACCTGTTTAACTGTCACATATAGTATACAATGGTCTTATAATGGTATATAGAATTCTAATAAAGAATAAAACGCATTTCTTTCAGTGTAGGCACACTTTTCTGCAACAGTGACATTTTTCATCACTGTACTCTGATTTAGTTACAAGTTTACTAAGTGCGAGTTTATTTAGAGTAATTATATAACCGGAACCTATATTTGCATGAAATCAGTTCTAGTTAAAACATTATCACAAATGCTCAATATTAAGTGAAAATGTACTCAATGTACCCAGTAAATGTTTGGCAGGTGGGATGTTCACGCACATCAATTATTTGGTATAGCTTCCTAAAAGTTAAAAAACAGTATCGGTAGATACGTTACTACTAAATATTCCGAATTCCATAACAGTTACGATTATCGTATTATTTCATCTATATAATAAGTTGAATTAAGTTTAAAAACTACCTACAATATCCAATTTTTCTAAGAGAAAATAATGACTCAACTGTAACGAACTTCAATGCTAGGTTAAGCTAGATACCCCACATAAAAATTTGGTACACCTGACGAATCTGAAAATTAGATTAATATTAATCATCCATTATCATTACTATTATTAAAATACAAGTAATTTTCAATATTACATTACTATCAAAATATGTATTAAATAATAGATAATATTTTACCTTTATTTATTTTAATCATTCACTGTAAGAAAAATTGAACTGAGTGAAATTTTCCTCTATTAGTATAAGTAGAACAAAAAGTTTATGAGTTTTCAGTTTTAGTTCAAATATTATAAAAAATGTGTACAATTATCAAAATGCTCAATATTGACTGAAAATGTACTCTATAATTTCTCTCAATGAATTCACTCGATGCCTTTTTGCTTTCACTCAGACCGATTTATTTATACCTAGTGTTTTATATTATATTGAAGTAATATCAACTAATTCTCTTTTTTATTGATCGCTGTAAGCTATAATCTTTAATTTGTTCATTTTGTGTTGATCAAAATTAAATACCTACCTAACTATTCAAACTTATTTTAATGTCCTTCTAATTTGCTCTGTTTTCAAAAGTCAATTTCACGCAACAGTCTTTTTCAAGCATAAATTAATAATCATTTATATTAATATGAATAAGTAATTTCCAAAAATGTTACGTAAAAATAAATGACAAAGCTAAAAAAGTGAATATTTAAATGATATTTTACTATTTTTAACATTTTATTAACATAAAGTTTTAAGAATTACTAAAGTTGTGATTTCATTATCTTCTTTTGATCGATTTTCTTTATAATACCTATCTAATAAATTGAAAATTGACAGTAATGTAACAAATAACACGTTGAAATATAATGATTGGATTGTAATACTATTTTTTTTTTTGTTACAGGATTTAGCAGGCATAATGAAAATTGTAGCGGACAGATACCAAACAGTTTTGTATAAAATAAGTGGTAAGTAAATATTTCAGTAGATATTTATATCACATAAACTTCCCCATACATTAAAAAACTAGAATCAGGTATATTAAGTATTATTTCGTAAAAAGCTAGAAAATGTAAATTTTTATGCAGAAAAATATCGTTTCAAACACTGCGAAAATAATATGTAATAATAGATAGTAAAAATAAATAAGGATATATTATTACATGCTTACACTAAAAACAACTTAGCAAAGTAGGAGGTGGTATTTTATCACATTTCTTTAGTGTAATTAAATTCCACAATGCTTAGCAATTTAAAGTCAACACATAATCGATATTCTAGAAACTAGTTTTTACTTTATTTGCCAGTATTTTAAAATAGATGTATATAACCGTATTTTATTTAAAATTTGACCCTAGGTGTTTTAGAAATACCAAGAAGAGAACTAACAGAGTAATACGTCATGTTGTGGGAATTCTTCCGGGTCTGTGAAATTTTATGCAAAATCGCTACTTGTGAAGTATCACTTGCAGATCAAATATTTGTAATGTTCTATTGATTTAATTATTTTTTTTAACATCATATACAGAAGTATATTTTTTAAATAATATAATTATTAAATTACCATCAGTAAAGCCCAGTTGAATGTTGTAAGTAGTAAGCCTAGTTAACTACAAAAGTAGTCCAGCATCATTACAAAATAAACGATGATCATAGTATGAAATGTTGTTTTTAAAAAACATTTATATTCTCTTCTTCGCTTCCGTAGCTGTTAGTCTATTTTATATATTAATATTAAGCTGATTCAAGCAAATAATACTGAAAGTTTATTAAAGAGATATATAATTTTGCCGATATAGTAGGACTTCTCATGGTAAATTATAAGAATATCAGAAAAATTCGTTACTAACTGAAAAATTTAATACCTATACATGCTTGGTTCAAGTAAATTCAATTTGGTCACATTTCATACAACACTTCATTATTCTATTTTAAAGTTAATTATGCAAAAGATATTTAACCCAACAGACAAGATATAGACACTTCATTATTCTATTTTAAAGTTAATTATACAGAAGATATTTAACCCCACAGACAAGATTCCAAATGTAGTTTCTTATATCGAAAATATCTTTTAATTTTTGAAATATTTTTAATACGAAAAAACACATTTTAAATGCCAATTCTACTCCTCCAGAAAAATTTCAGTATAAATCTATTAATAATTTCGTTCTATTATATACAGGGTGACCCATTAAGAATGGAAACACTCGCGTACAAAAGTTGTTTATGGACCGATTTGAACCGGGTTTTTTTTTAAAGATAGATCTCCAAAAGCTCTATCTTGATGCAAAATTTGAAGACGAAATTTTGATTTTCAAGGCCTACTACGAATTTTTTTTT